CTCTCTTCCTCCTAGTGAAGCCATCCCTCCCCATCCAAAATTGCCCAGAGGGACCTTTTACTCTCCCTGTGTGAGCTAAATGGACTCTCAGAGGCAAACGATATTTAACTGATTGTCATTTTTTTCTAGCACTTTACAAGTTTGATATTTTCTAGTAGAATGATTTAATATAGTTTTAAAATAGCCTCCTTTTAGCTATTTGTGTCCTTTCTGGAGGTGTTAAATGTGGAAGCAATTATCCTCTTTATGACAGGATTTTTTTCTTGGCTCGGTGAAGCTTTGTGCTTTGTAACACCTGATGTGTAGGTAAAGAATTGGGTTTATTTTGTATTAACTCATAGTGAGTTTCTTTCCCTTAGAGAGCTAAAGGGTAGATATATGCTTCTCTGGGAGATAAACCATAATCTGTTAAATGTGTAGGAAGATACTAAGAGCTAGAAAAAACTATATTCTAGAAAAGTAAAATGTGAAAAATCTTGTTGCCTTGCTCTATAACCATGGTGAAAAAGAAAAAAAAAAAAAGAGTTGATTAGTGGTTTCATGGGAAGTAACCTACAAAGGGGCAGTCTTCTTGGTTGAATTACTTCTTGGTTGTTGACATTTGAATCTTTTTAAAAAAGTGTTTGAGGCATCATATTTTTAGTTGATGGCCCCATGAATGTGAAAGCCTTAGGTTCTTACCAGTGTTCCCAGGAGCTGGGATACTGCCAACAGAGGAGATAAAATAAGCTCTCTGATTTCATCCAGTGTGTTTAGTGTGTGCCAAGGAAAAAATTCTTTGAACACTCAGAAAGAGTAAGTTTTGTTGTTGTTCATAGAATGATGAAGAGTACCAGAGTAGATGATTTGTGCTATGCCCAAACTGTGGCAATAGTTTATTGTCTTTGGGAACATGAGACATTTTCTTCTGTGGGAAACTGATGTGAAAACACATCAAAAACCTATCTGATTTCTCTATTTTATACTAGTGAGAAAGTAGATGATTTCAGAGTGGCCAATGAAGACCAACACTCGCCTGAATTCAAAAGCTCTCATCTCAGGGCTGGCAGTGGACAGGTGGCACCAGAGAAGGACTTTTCAGAATCCAGGGAGCCTCTGGGAAATATTTACAGGAGGTTATAGTCTGTAGGACAAAGTTAATTATGGCAAAATCATCATAATGACTTTTACAGATCATTTCCTGCATAGCAGTCATTCTAAGTCCTTCATGTGCATTTTCTTAGATATGTATTAAGTCCAGGAAACAGGTATGATGTTCTCTCCATTTTACAGATGAGAAAATCATGGTAGAAAGAGGTTAAGTTATTTCCTCAGGGGCATAGTGCTTATAAAATGGGAGGCTAGGAAGACAGCAAGAGCAACAAGATTTCAAGTTAGAGAAATCTGAGTCCCAAAAGTGTAGATTCAATTACCATATAATACTATGATAAAAAAAATCCATTTAAGAATAAGATCTCTAGAGGAGCCTAAGTTTAACTGGCTTGTGTAGATGCTGATGATCAAGACCAGAAGAAACAGAAATGGAGTGGGCAGAGTTATCTTTGGTTCTCTTTCAGCTTTTTATTCTCCATCAGTGGTTTCTGCTACTTGTTTGAGCTGTCCTCCCAATTGCAAATCCATGTTTTCTTTCTGAAGGATCTTGTTTTCTAGGAGATAGATTACATTAGTTTAGAGTCTGGAGGTAGTCTTTGCATTTTATTATGAAACATTCAAGGAATAAAAGCTTCCAAGATACCCAAGGGCCATTTCTGAGAGTGATGCTTCAATCTGCATTTCAGTCCAATAGTGATGGTATTTTCAGGCTGAAATGTCTCTCCTAGGCCCTCAAAGCACAGTATGGAATGAGAAATGGCAAACTGCTTATTCCTAGAATGGCCTCTTATAGCACAGGAATGGAGGGAGAGAGTTAAAGGAAGCAGAAAACATCACACAGATGGAGAGTGATCTAAAAAGGGGGCAGAAAAGCATAGAATCTCATAATGTGGCTCTGAATTTAGACTCCACCTCTTCCAGTCTCTAGCCATGTGACTATGGACAGATGAAAAAAAAACCACCTGCATAAAAATACCTACTTTCTAGATGTCTGCAAGTCAAATAAGAGAAAGATGGAAAAAGGCAGCAGCCAAAGGCTAGCTGTGGACAGGAGTTTCTCAGGCAATATTGACACCCACTTCTCTCTCCCTACCACATTGGATGGGAGACGTGGAGGAGACTGGAAAGTGAAAAGTAAAGATTGGTGTAGGTGAATTGTCCAGAAGAGAAAGAGACCAAGTTGTGAGAGTCTTTTTAAAATTCTTTTATTAATAAATCTTACTTTAACCCATTTCCCCCCCAATCCCCCTCCCTTCCTAGGTACAAAAGCTTTGTTTCCTCTTTTTCCTTCTATTTTCACTTTTTTTTCTTGTCCCTTTCTTCCCTTTTCCCTCCCTCTCCTTTGTTCCCCTTCCCATTTGAACACTTTCTTCTCATTTCCCAACATCCATTATGCACTTCAGTCTTTATTTCCGCTTTTAGTTTCATAAGTTGTGAGATTCTTATTCCTTGATATGAATCAATCTTTCTGTATTTGTTCATTTGACATCTACCTATTGATTGCTTCTGCAATTTTCTTGGGTTTGAGACTTAGCCTGACTCCATTTAAAATACTGCTTTTGTACAACCATGTCTTTATGCATTTAGAACCTGATGAACCCAGCCAACTGAAGGCTTTAAACATTGCTGGCATCTTTCTCTTGATCTGTCTTTGGATATAGCTCCCAATAAGAACTTCAGAAAGTTAAACAATTATCATTGTCTGTTATCCCACATTATCCAGAAACACAATGCACAAGGCATCTTATTTAAAGAGAAAATATTTAGTCAGCAGGTCTCCTACTAACCTTTGGCTATTGCTGTCTCTTGTAGGTGCATACATGTAGCATTGAAAATATCAAGATACTGTGTAGACATTATTTAACTAGCTCTGAAATTCCATTGCTCCTGAATGAACTATAGTAATTAAAGCCACACAGGTGATATAAACGATTGGCTTTTTCAAAATTTAGTTTTTGCTAATATGCTTGCAGTACATAATGTTTACATTTCTTGTGTGAAGTTGGTGCATAAATGTAATACATCTTAATTTCTTTTTTTCGTTCTCCTCCTTGTCCTCCTTCCCCCCTTCTCTCCATCTCTTGAGTCCCTTGCTATTTGAAAAATAGCTTCCTACTTCCTATTTTCTTTTATTTTGTTCTTTATATTTTGAGTTTCTTGTATAAGATAAACCATGCAATGTTTAAGGTGAGGTTTCAGGAGGTTCCTTGGATTTTAATTAAGAATAATGAGTTACATTCTGTGCCTCAACTAAAAATGTATGTATGCCCTTGTTGTGATGCCTGACACCTTTGGCCCTTAATTTTTAGACTAGGTCAAGAAGAACAGATATTTTTTAGGACCAATTTACATACTGAAAAGAGGTGGCCTTAATAATCTTGCATGTCACTTTACTATTGAGGGTTGCCAAGTACGCCCTGAGTGTCCCCTATCCTCACCAGCCTATGCATACCAATAAGATGATGGTGATGCCATTCCTGAATTTCCCTAGATTTCTTGCCATGAAACAGCTAGATGTATCCAGCCAAACTTTCCTGCCTCTGCCACCCTCAAAGGGCTGTCTTGCACTTGCTCAGGAGGAAGTATGCACCCAGTGGGGCCTCCCAGCTCCGCCCTCCTTTTGCTATGTCAGTTGTCACTTCTTAGGAAAGATGCTGCTTTCCCTGGAGCATTATATCCTCAGATTTGCCAATATGTCATTTGACGCTATATTCTCTTCAGTCTTGACTTAACTACTGGAGCTATGGTGTAGGTGTGTTCTCTATGGAAAGAGAGAGAGAACCCTACCCTCCCTAACTCTGTCCCTCACTACCCTGAGTTAGCATTGCCTGTGCCCGAGTAAGCAGCCTCTTCAGATCATGCTTGTCCCATTACCTTACGAGGTGACAGAAAGCGAGCTATTTCATCTTCTCCATTGTCTCCAACTCTCCTTCACGTACCCAGGAATCACCAACCAAAGTCTTCTTCAGCCCCCAAACAACAGTCTTTATGGATATCAACTTTGGCAGATCTATGTCTGTTAGTCACCAGCCTTATCTTCCTAGTTTTTATTTATTTAGGTGCAGCCAGGCCCATGCTGCTACCCATTTGTGAAGTTGTCTGGTTTCCCTGAGATCATAGCCACAAGGACACTGAGACATCATCGGGGCCTGTTGGTGACTAAAGTCACTGGCCACTCTGGTGACAAACATGAGGACTGCAGCAATAAAGGGATCTCAGCATCAGAGAACTGATTTTGAGGAGCTTTGAAGCTCATTTCTACATGATTTCCAGTAGAATGAGATGTAGCTTAAAAAGTATAGGGTGCCTTAGTTGAGGCACTTGTATCCAGCCAAACTTTCCTGTCTCTGCCACCCTCAAAGGGCTGGCATACTTGTGACTGAGAGTGAGATACTCATTTCTGTGGCCTTCAAAACAGTATGGCAGTTGATTACTGGACCTTCAATTCCCTTAAACAAGAGAGAGCAGGGACTCATGGGAAGGCAGGCTTCCCAGACAGAAGAAAAAGCTGAGTGTGGTGGTGCACATCTGTAATCCCAGCACTCTGACAGGCTGAGGTAGGAGGATCACTAGTTTGAGCCTAGCCTGGTCAATGTAGCAACTTAGTCAGACTGTCTCAAATTTTAAAAAGCAAATAAAAATTTGAAAAGGCTGGGAGTGTAGCTCAGTACAAAGGCCCTGGGTTCAATCACAGTACCTCAAACAACAAAAACCAATACAGATATAAGGAAAGAGGTAGCAGCTCCTCACTCAGACTTCAGAGGAGACAAGAAGACAGAAGACATGGACAGAGACATGGTCCTTTGCACACAGTGCCATGTTTTAATGGTCAAAATCTTCAGTGCTAGGTATCAAAGGATACTTTTTTGTTTATGGCCCATCCTCTCCTACCTCTCTATTTGACACAGAACCTCCAGTCATTCATTCTGGAATCAAAGACCTCAAGGTTTTGAAAACAACCCAGTCTGGATTTGAAGGATTCATCAAGGACCAGTTCACTACCCTCCCGGAAGTGAAGGACCGGTGCTTTGCTACCCAAGTATACTCCAAGTGGCGCTATCACCAGGGCAAAGATGTGGATTTTGAGGCTACTTGGTATGATGGGGGCTAGGATCTGGACCTGGGATGAGGAGTGTCTGCCTTATTCACAGGTTTCCCAGAGCTCAGAGCATCATAGATCCAAAAGGGGAAATTTGAACTCACTCAACCCCAACTCTCCACTGTTTGGAAATCCCTTCTATATTTTAACTTAGTAAATCAGTGGTTTGCAAACATGAGTACACATTGGAATGACCTGGGGTCTTGTTAAGATGTAGATCACTAAGCCATCCCCAGAGCCGGATTTTGTGGGTAATGGGGGACTGATAATTAGCATTTGTAACCAGCTCCCAGATGCTCCTGCTGTAAGGCTTCAAAGGTGTTTTAAGAAGCACTGGTCGAACAAAGTAAATATTTAACCTTCGTGCCTCACAGTGAAGCAGAGATGGCTAAGTGGGGTGACCACACCATCTCAGTTTGCCAGGAAATTTCTCGGCTTTAACATTGAAATTCTCAAGTTCCAGGAGACCTTTTGATTCCAGGAAAACTGAGACAGTGGGTCACACACTAAGCTAAAAAATGATATGATAGGCATAGAAGCACTTTGTAGGTGACAAATGCTCTAAAATGTAAAGGTATGATTATTATTATAATATCTTTGACAAGGAATAATTAGGCTTCTCAACACCCAGAGCTTGCCTTTTGATTAGGTATCTTATTCCTTCAATGAAGCTTTAATTGTTAGACATTTCTAGCTTGTGATAAGCTAAAATCTGCTCCCCCATGTAGCTTCCCACTGGAATAGTTTTTCTCTATACTTTTTGTTATGTGTTAGGTTTCTAAATGTTCGGTGAGAACCTCACGTGAGTCCCCTGTTCTCCTTTTTCTTTTAAGTTCTCCCCCTGGGCGGCAGGCATCTGCTGTACTTACATTGAAAAGAACATGAGAAAGAACATGTCACAGTCAGGGTGGTGCCCCTGGCCTCCCACTAAAAAGACAGCAACTCAGAGACCATTTAACTTTGAGGCTCAGATTCATCAGCTCTATGTTGGGGATGTCAATAAAGTCCCCACCTCAGCTATCCTGAGAATTCAATGACATAATCACATAAAATGCTGGTCACAAAGTAAAATCCCTAAGGTAACAGTTCAAGGAACCAGCCAAGCACAACAGTAAGAAGGCTAGAGTTTTGGGATCCTTCTTCATAGGTTCCTAAATTGTGGGAGATTTAGCCTAAAATGTCCACTGGACCCTGGTGCCCATCTATGAAGACAGCCCAGTGATGTTCATTGTTCACTGAGTGGGGTGTATGTGTGTGTGTAGAGAAATGGGAAGTGAGTTTTGCTTCTGCTCTTTTTTTTTTTTTTACATTACAGGATGATGCTCTCTTCTAAAATAATCAATTAGGGCCGGGGATTTAGCTTAGTGGTTTTGCTGCCTGCCTTACAAGCACAAGGGCTTGAATGCAATCCCTGGTACAAAAAAGAATGCTGAAATAATCAACACAGTTTTTTTGAGGGGGCAAAAATGTCACTACTTTCCAGCTTTATAATGCATAACTGAAATACTACTTCATGAGAATCTTTAGCTTTCTTCTCTGTGCCTTAGGGACACTGTTCGGGACATTATCCTGGAAAAATTTGCTGGGCCCTATGACAGAGGCGAGTATTCGCCCTCTCTCCAGAAGACCCTCTATGACATACAGGTGCTTTCCCTGAGGCGGGTTCCTGAGGTATGTTTAGTTACTTGGCATTCGGAGGATTGAGAAAACTTGTGTCTCCTGTCAGCGCTGAGAAAAAGTTGAGAGTTAAAATAAGAAAGTGGAAGACACATGAAAAATGACATCTGTTGTTGTTCAAAAGCTTGTTATAGCAAGTGAGAAGAGAGCAAAAAATGGAAAAATCTGTCCAACCTAAAAACACAGGCCACTGTTACAGTTCTTTAGTTTTGTTGAAAATTCTTTGAGTTTCTTCCACCTGTCTCTGATTTAAAACTCATAATCAGGACACTTCAGTTCCTTGATGGAGAGATAATTAGATGGTGGTTCAGTATTTCAAGGGATCCAGAGAACAAAAGAAAGAGAGATTCATTCCATCCACCTGTTCATCCATCCATTTATTTGATATTATTAGTTGTTTTATTTCTGATGGTAGACAAGTGATGCAAAAATAAGTTAGACATATTCCCTACTCTCAAAGAGCTTATCAGTCATCAAGTAAAAAACCCACACAAATGAACAATGCAACAGATAATAGATTATTGTAGAAATACAGAGAAGTGTCTAAAGCAGGTATAGGGGATAGGGCCAGCCTCTCTCTCTATCTCTGTCTCTCTCTCTCTGTCTCTGTGTGTGTGTGTGTGTGTGTGTGTGTGTGTGTGTGTGTTGAGCTTTATAAACAATAAGGGTAATCTGGGCTTATACTCAGAGAGGGAGCAAAGCTTGTATGGAGACAGAAGGCAGCATAATATAGTCTTTTACTGGTAAGAGTCAATCATAGCTGAAGTTCCGGGAAGGAAGGTCTTTCCATACTCCTGTACATGAGGCAGAAACCAGTCATGAGGGCCTTAGTAGGTTATAGAGTTTGTGCTTTATCTTGTGAGATTTTAGGAACCACTAAGGAGTGTAGGCAGGGTGTGCCATCACCTAATTTGTCTTCTAGAAAGATCACTATGATGACAGTGTTATGAGCTAAAAGGATGATGAACCACAGGGGAAGATAGTTGATGGGATGCTGTTGCAGAAATTTGGAGAGGAAGTTCTCACCCTTAGACCTGGACAAGAGACTGTGTCTACCGTCCATCACTTCAAAGGCCCCCTTCAGCACTTCCTTTGGCTTTACTTCCCTCTGCTGAGGGCATTACTGGAGCCTAGGCAACTCATTCTTCAGTGGTTCATGCATTCCTCAGAATGCCCTGCTCAAGCAGCCCTGAGAGCACTTCTGAAACCAGGGCAAACCTCTCCCAGAGGTCTGTGCTCCACCAGGCAGATCATGCTATTGGTACACAGAGCCTGAGGCCTGAGAGTGGACAAAGCAGCAGACTTTTGCAGGAGGAACTTGATGTGCAAGCTGGAATGTTTACTCACTCAAGTCTAAGAGAGGAGGTGGGACAGATTGGGGGCCATAGGCTGACTCTTCTATGTTACCATGTCCCGGCATGGCACACCAAGGGTCAGAAAACTTTAAATTTAAAATGGGCCTTCCAGGTTACGATGAAGGTATAGTTGCTGAAGTTGAAGAACAGAATATGTCTGACTTAAATGGTTTTCATTTTTAGCTTGATTTATAGCTTTTAAGTCTTTATACATCTGGTATGTGGATCTCCAGCCACACTCTTGCAGTAGGACATAGAATGTTGCTTGTCCAGTTCCTGGAAGCCAGTTGGATGTCAAAGAGGTCTCCCAGGTTTTAGACCCAAGAAACGCTTACTTTTCTGAAAATTAGATTTTCTACATAGAGGGGAGAGAAGTGGGCCCACCATCTGATAATAGGACCAGCCGGAGAGAAAATGTTGAGATGTAGAAGAACATCAGAAAGAGCTGAAATCTATTCCAGAGGGTGGGTGGGTTGCAGGGGCGAGAATGTTGGGCTGACAGAGATAGACTCATTGTTGCCCAATGTGACGTACACTCTTGTGGCTTCCAGATAGAAGACATGGAAGTCATCCTGCCAAACATTCACTACTTTAACATAGACATGTCAAAAATGGGACTGATCAACAAAGAAGAGGTAAGAGAAGTTTAAAATATCTAAGGCACACCTCTGCGCCAACCTCCTTATGCCTTTTTCTTTTTTTGTAAACTTGAGAATATAATGTCACTGACTCAAACTCTGAACAGCTGCTTCACTGGGGAAAGTTTATAGTTGTACTGACTGGAGCCCTCTTAGACTCTGGGTGTTTCAGTGCCTGAGGCTTGAGTACCTCAGAAGTGGATGAATGATTAGAGATGAGGATCGAAAGCCACAGAGAGGGAAAGACCAAAGAGGAACAGAGTGTGCCCAAGGAAACAACTTTGAGGTCTACTTCTTGGAAAAGTGCCACACAAGGTCAAAACTTCATTATTCTTCTATCATGAGGCAGTGAGGAGAGGAGAAGAAAAGATTCTATTTTCATTTTCCATTCATCATTTCTGTCTTTTGATGAAGTAGTCAATTCACAGTGCACACAGGAAAGTTGAAAGAGTGTTTTTGTTTCTAATTGCAAATACAGAAGGCAAGATGAGGAAATTCATGTTTTGAAAGAAAACATTTGTCTTAGAAAATGCACTGGCCTTGACTTATTTTTAGCTGTAGCAGAAGGTTAAAGCACTTAATGTGTTTGACCAGGCAGCCTGAAGTCCTGACAGGCAGCCTGTGTGGTCAGCTCCTGGGGGATCAGAACTGTCCCTTCCTATGGACTACTTTCAAAATGGTAAGATTTCTCCATTTGATCCATTGGAAAACATGAGCTAGGTAACTCTTCTTAGTATGTAGCAAGCCATGAGATATGGAAAGGGCTGTTATGATGGCCCTGCTGCTAGAGAATAACATTCTTTGGTGGATAAATGCCAATAAAGGAATTTCCAGAAAGTCCTACGTTCTTGGACAGCTGGCTCATGAGCCTTACAACCTTTTGGGCCAGGTACTTTGTCTCAGTTCTGAAAATACTTTTGACGGACACCGCTGGGCTTTGTACCACCATCAGCTGCAGGTGTACGTGGGTAGGTGACATCGGAAAACAAAGGTTACCCTTGAGTGTCTGGTAGAGGTGACCTGAGCTCTGAGTTACACAGGAGGACGCACTGTGTCTCCAGTATTTTTCATTTAGCTGAAAGGAGAGGCAGCGCCACTTCAGAGGATGGAAAGGATGGTGAAGCCTGCAGTTTCATTAATTAGGCTTAATTAGCCTTTTTACAACGATTGGCTGCTAAAGGACAAAACAGATACCTGAAAGTAATCCTAGGCAGGACAAATGAGCCCCAAACAGAATAAGGATCAGGTGTCATGACTACAGTGGCCCAGGATACCAGAAAGAGAGAAGATGGCATCCTTGGGACCCCTTGAGCCTCAGATTTGCCTTGATCCTTTCAAGGGCTTGCCTGTGAGCTGAGGCCACAGTGTCCCTCCCTCTATGATGCCAGATTCACAGCCCCCTCCTAAATACTTGCTGTGGTCTTGGAGGCAGGAAGGCCTGGATTCCTTTGGGTCAGGAGTCTGAATAATGCCTCTGAGTGGCTGAACATGCCATTCCCTATACCTTGGGGTTGCCTGGAGCCACTCTTGGACCCTCACCCAGGTGTGCACAAAGTGAACTCATTGTATGAGAAACAGGAAGCAGAGATACACTAACAGCAGCAAAGAAGTGACAAATGACAGGGTGGAAACAGAGTAACTCTAAAAGCCCAGCTGTCTGGAGCCATTTAGCATTGTGCTAACAGCCTTGTGGAGCTCAGATGCTCCTGAGGGCATGGCTAGATTATAGCTTAGGACAATGATTGATGTCCAAAGTGAGTCATCCAGAAAAGGTCAGATTGTATTCACTGCACCATTTTTAAAATCAGGGATATGCAATGCATTTAAGAAACATTTATATCCCAATGTTTAAACTTTTAAAATATTTCTTAATTTTCTGGAAAATCACTGCATCTCTCAACTATTGCCAGAAAAATAAAGCATTACCATGATTGGAGTAACTTTACTGTAGGCCATATACACTTTGCTGCTTAACAAGCTGTCTTTGTTGTTGTTTTAATATTGATTATAGAAAAGAGGGCTGTTTTAATGTCTCTGAAGGTACCACGCGGTTTTTCTGCAGGTCTTGCTGCCATTAGACAATCCATATGGCAAAATTACTGGTACAGTCAAGAGGAAGCTGTCTTCAAAGCTGTGACATTGTGACCACTGATAGAAATCCATCTTAGCTGCAGAATTCTTTAAGTCATTTGTGATTCTGGAGATTCTAATGTATATGCAGATTTGCAACTCAGTATATTAATTATAGTGTACACTTTATTTCTCTATCAAATGATTTGTTTCTTTATACCTAACTCAGCAAAAGGCATTGTGTGCATTATCTCATTAGTAATTATAATATGTTTTGTGAATGTTATTTACTTTAAAAATACTGAACAGTATTAAAACAATCATAAATTAATATTTCTTTGTGGTGGTTTTGTGCATTCCTATCTTAGAGACGATTTAGAATCAATCATTAAAAGATGATCATGAATTATGGAGGGGGGGTCACATCAATTAGTTTGAGCACATACATGTATAAAAGCCATTATTGTCTTCATCCTACTGATGCATGATTGTCTCATGGATGCAGAAAATGTAATAAAACTATACTGAAAAATTTCACCACTGTGGCTTCAATTGTTTGAATATTTGAATTTTAAAAAATTCTGTAGTATATGTATCACCGGTAGTTTATTTCTAGTCTGATACCATTATTATGGTTTTATGTATTGATTTTTATGGCCTTGTAACACTTAGAGAATATTTAGTACACATCAGGGTGTTAAAATCAGTGTAAATTGTTTCTCTTTGGATAATACATCCTTTTGGTGCAAAGAACTACATTTAATAAATATGAAGTCAATGTACAGGTGAATGAATATTCATATAGAAAAAGTACACACACACACACACACACACACACACACACACACACATATATATATATATACATATATGAAAATATCAGCAATGGTGAATTCTAGAGGTTGCGATTATGAGTGATTTTTATTTTTTACCATGTACTTACAGAGTCTTCTAAGTATAAACATTTGCTTTCAGGATCAGAGAAATATTGGCCTTAGCGACTTTCTTGTCACTGAGGCATAATACTTGACACCCACCCACAACTCTAAGGGCGAAAGGCTCACAGGCTGTAGAGGTTTCAGTCCATCGTTGGCTTCTTCCAAGGCAGGACTGCACAGCAGATGGGCGCGTCCAAGGAGAAAATGGTTCATGACATGGCGGGCAGGCAGTACAGAGGGACCGAGGGAGGAGAAGGAATATGTAGCCTTGCAAGACCATGCCCACAGTGACTCACATTTTCCTACCAACTTTCACCTCCCAACATGACACCCAGCTATAACCCATCAGTGGAGTAATCCAGTGATAAGTATCACACCCATGACCCATTCACCTCCCAAAAGCCTCACCTGTGAACACACGAGGCTTTGGAGGAACATCTAGATACAAACCATAACACTGCTGTATATAGTCTGCAAAGCTTCCTAAGTTATAATTTCAAAAATCCATGGTTAAAATCTATCCTTGTGAATATTCTATGTAAATTACATCTTTTTAAAATTTCCCTTTACTTTTAAAAAAATGAAATCTTACTTTAGAAATGCTTATACATGAGCCCTCAGTATTGTCCAATGATTCTACTTCATTCATCATTACGCTACTACAACCTAAAATAGAATTGTATTACTAAGATTGGCATCTCTATGGTGAAATACCTATGGCAATTAATTTAAAAAGAGAAAGGTTTAGTTTGCATGGTTCTAGAAGTTCCCATCCATGATCAGATGGTCCCTTTGCCTTGGCCCTCTTGCAAAGGTGGTACACTATAGGGGAGCAAACAGAGGAGCAAAATTTCTTGTATCACAGCCAGGAAGAAAAGAGGAAGACACCCAGCTCCCATAATCCCCTTTGAGAGCATGCCCTGATAACCTAAGGACCTCCTACAAGTCTCCACTACTTCCTGTAACAGTACACTAGAGACCAAGCATTTAAATGGACATTTGGGGGACACTTATCTAAACGATAGCAATGGTGTGATTAATTACACAGCTCACTTAAATTCTGGTGGCACCTTTTACTACATATATAATAACTTTCCTCATCTATAAAGTGGGAATGAAAATGGAACTTACTCCATCAATTTTTTTGTGGGTTGAATGGATTAAAGTTTATGTGTTATGGTAGTTTTTATGTCTGATATGTAAACATTTCTAGGCAAGTGTTTATTGAATGTAATAATTAGCTTGTCTTCTTTTCATTGCTACTCATCTATTAGATAACTAGGTGACAAAGTCTGTCATTGGCCTATATGAGTGAGGTGAGAGAAGGCGGTCTTGAGAGCAGCCAAACCCTACCAGCTGCTGGAGGCTATTCACAAGATAGCAACCACCTGGGAAGAACATAGGGTAAGAAAAAGGAAATAATTTGATAAGGAAGGTTTTATGCTACGTTGAATACTCATGCTACAAAACGTGTTTCTACATCACATAAACTGCAAGGCCAAATGGCTGGTACATTCTATTCCTCTGCTAATTTGATAATTCTGTTCCAAGAGGAGAGTCTAACATGAATGTCTAAAAAAAAAAAAAACCACACAAACAAAACTTAATTAGCCCTTTCTTACTTGATGTTCTCTTATTTGTGTAAACTTTAGAAACATTTTTTTTCCCAAAGAAAAAGCCTATTTTAGAACAGAAACCTTAAATAGAAATTGTGGCCCATTTCATACATGTACACATTTTGCTTCTCCTGACCTCTTAACATATTCATTGTGATGGATTGCAAACAAGCTACCGGTTGTTACAGTCCAGATGTATGTTGGGAAAGTTGTAGTCTATCCAGTCATCAAGGAGTGGGTTCCTGTTTTGTGAAGGATGTTTCCCTGGGGTCAGAATTGGTGTCACCTGCTTCTGGCACAGGGATGCTATTGCAATTCTCTCCCTCTTGTTTCTCCCTAACCCCTTGCCTCCCCTTAACCCCATGACAAATACTTGGATGGAAGAATGATGCTGGTGACCCAACGCCATGGACTGTGCAGAGGTGGTTGGTATAGTATTCTATGCAGCAGGCTGTCATTTGGGGCTTGTAGTTTTGTCAGCCAAGATTCTGCCTAAGGCTTGTTTTATATCTTGCAAATCTCATTATGTAATATTCCATAGTGACAGCTCAGAAAATATGACCGATTCCTTTTCTTTTGAGTCGGACTTAAGCCCATACTTTTTCCTCATTTTCAGAAATTGCTTTTTCTCTCTTTTTGAAACATTTGTGTAATAGAAAGAAATCTTTTACGATAACATTCTAATTATTTGTCATTGAAACAGAATTTATCTTTTTCAAGCCCTGAAGATTTTAACTGCAGAAACTTGAACTTTTTTCTAATCTTTTTTATGCTTTGTCTGGAAAGAACATTTCCATTCCTTCAGACTCTGAGCTGTATGGAGTTTGTCCTTCTATTCACCTTTTCAAAAGCTTTGTAAATTCTGTCTCCATACCTGCATGTAGGAGGAAGCCAAAGCTATTTTCCAAAGGCATGGATTTCGACACACCTGTTTCCAAAGGCCCGAAGCTTAATCTGTTTGTATTTGCAGCCTTTATTCTAATTTCCTTTGGAGCCCAGTAACTTCATAGTCTTCCTTCTGTCTAGACTCACTCTCAGAATTCTTGTCGGCTTTTGGAGCCTGATGAAACACTGTTGAGAAATAGTAGCTATTATCTTTTTTCCCAAAGAATGCACATTCATATTTCTGCAGGTGCCTCCACCTTTACGAAAGAATTAGTTTACACCTTATCCTTAAAGTATAAAGGAATCTAACATAAATTTATCAGAGGAGGAATACATTCAACGTAAAGTAGAAGATAAGTATACTGTTCACCTTTACATGAGAAAGAGAAATATATTTATAAAAGAAAGAAAGATCTCAGGGATATTAGTTTCTTGAGGCTGCTGTAAAAAATTACTGTAAACTTGGTTGCATACAACAACAGGAATTTATTCCCTCATAATTAGTTGTTGAGGCTGGAAGTCCAAAATCCAGGTGTTGGCAAGGCCATGCTCCCTATACAGGCTCCAGGGGAGATTTTATTCTTGTCTTTCAGTGGTTCTTGGCTCATGGATGAAACTAGTGTCTGCATCTATGATTACATTGTTTTTATCTCTTCTAATTGTCAGATCTCTCCTGTATGATTCTTTTTTTGGTACCAGGGTTCAAATTCAGGTTCTTGTACTTGCAAGAGGCAGGTGGTAGAACCACTGAGCTAAATCCCCAGCCCTCTCCTGTATGACTCTTATAAGGACACTTGTTATTGGATTGGGGGGGCCATCTGGACACACAAAACAATCTCTTCATCTCAAGATCTTTTAATGACATCTATGAAGTCCTTTTTTTAAACATACAGTCACATTTGCAGGTTCCAGCAATGAGGAGGTGGATTTTTTATGTTATGGTGACCACTCAACCCACTACAATAAGTAGAGGGACAGAGGGCTTCTTTTTTTATTTTTTCAGCTTTAATTTAGTTTATTGGTACATTTTAGGGATACAGTACAGTTACATTCATTGTTGGGATCTTGTACCTATACATGACAAGTCTTGATTCTCATTTTTTCCCCTTACCCCTGCCCTCCCTTCACCCTCTCCTCCCCTCCCCATCTATGAACACTTTATTTTCATCTTTTCATTATCTCACATTTTTTTCTTTTCCCTTATTACCCTTCCCCTACCCATCCCATCTTCCCTACACCTTTAGCTCCTTTCTTCCCATTTCTAAATGTCAGTATTCTTATTAGGATCTTCTGTATTATTGCAGATTATTCAAGGGCAGCTCTTCTTGTATATATGAGTCTTTAGCTGCACATATGCTGCTACTACTATTCCTTCAGATGTGGGGAGTGGTCACACCCCCTCCCAGTTTGATCAGGTGTGTTGCATAGCATTTATTAATGAGTAAAGAGCATAGCCTTTGGATCCAAATAGTGCACAGTTTTAGATTGGGCTCCACTGACTCTAGCTCCACTAACTCATAAGCAAGTTATATGCCATGAGATTCAGTCTTCTGTTTTGTGAGAAAAAGGAATGACAATCATACCTACTTCATAAAGCATGGGGTAATAACTGAGAATTAACTGATAATGAAAGTGTTAAGATGCTTTTGGCACTGAGTAACTCCGTCCCGAAGAGTGTCTTATGTGGAAAGGACATCCTGTTACTTGAGAAGTAACCCGTTGATTCGGCATCAGGATCCAACACATTCCATGCTGTACCATCCTCAGTGTGTGATGATGTCTTTCCTGTGGTCACTCAATGGAAGATAAAGCTCCCATTAAAGATGCTATGGTACATTATCCAGATCTCTCTTGAGACCAAAGCACTTATCTCTTCAATGTCAAAAGTGTGGGTCTCTGGTGGCTTATAGTTGAGTCTCTCTTGAGGAATTCCTATGGCTGAAGGGCCATCTCTCTCAGCTTTATACGTAATCCCTGGAAGCAGCTCACATCTAATGTCTAGTCCATGTAAGAGCTCTTGCCT